CTCAAATTAGAGTTACCCTGGACCGCACTTATCCTGGATAACTAGGACGTCCAACCCTCCGAACTCATCAGGGCTGGGGGTAGTCAGGGTGAACTACAGATTCGCGCCTCGGGGGCCCAAACCAGATTTGCCCTGGACATCAGTTGTCACTTTTTTTTTCGTCGGCGGCAGAATACTTGCGCTGGCGGAGTACCATTGAAGCGAATTGTGCCACAATGCAGGACAAGAGCGGGAGGGAGACAGGGAGGGCGGCCGAAGGAGAAGAAAGGGAGCGAGGGCCGCTCAGGGGGACGGGTCGCGCCCGGAGCGAGTGGCGCCGCCAGCGGGGTAGGCGGCGGCGGCTGCTGCGCCGGGGCCCGGCGGCGGCGGGGCGCAATACGGGCACCGGGACAAGCCGGGTGGTTCAGGATGCGATGCGAATAGTGCCAAAGCCAAAAGTAAATGGCAGTGCGTCCACCTGGACGGGAGCAGGCGCGGTGTGCCCAGCCGGACGGTGGGAGGTTTCGGCGGCGGGCGGCAAGACCAGACCCGAGGCAGCAGCGCAGGTTGCAAGCAGCCATCCAAGACATCAGTTATCACAGAAAAGGCGCGCGGGCGTGCAGGGTTACACACTACGACGCGAAGCGGCCCGAGGCCGTCATCACCAGTGCGCATGAAAACCCGTCCATGGTGGCGGTGTTCACGGGAGGCCTCGTGTCGCCTGCCGCCTTCGAGCGGGGCCAAGACGACGACCCTCCAATGGAATGCCCGTGGTGTTCATGTGGTGTGCCTACGACCGACCACGTCGTGTGGGAGTGTCAACGAGAAACGATCCAGGATCGTCCTCGTGCCCGCGGCCCACGGGCGAAGTACGACGGAAAGAGATGGGCCGGCGGTTGTTGTTGTGGGTGGCAGATTTTAGGACCACAATTCGTCGCATGTCTCTTGCACCAATTGGGACTTCCCACCATCATGCTGGTTCACAGGTGCGGTGGTCACCACGGATTTCTAACCGTGATATTTGGTTACATGTGCGATGGTGCTGTGCTTTTGTTTGCAACCACAACTTTGGGTCACAAGTACTGCGGTGCTCGCCATACTAATGCGCAAACGGCCTTTCTTCAGGCGTGGTTATCGTGAAGGCTTTCGTCTTTGCCAATGTACTTATTCATAGGATTTCAGGTACTCGACCTTGGCGTCGTGAAAATTGTCACCCGTCCCGGGCACTGGATTTCAAGCAATGCTGCGTCAAGATCGGGTCGGGAATTCTGGTGCGGTTTGTCGGCGGCACCGTCACTTTTTCACGGCGCCGGTTCTCGGTGTGGTACCGTCCAATTGTCGCGTGATGCCGGCTCGTCTTTGTCTGTGTCTATGCGTTTGCGGTATCAGATTTACCGTGCCAGCAAGTCACCCAGTGGGTTGTATAACTACACTTCTGTACGACATGTTGTACACCGCTCAACCCATGGTGGTGTATGTGTGCTACTGCTACGGATTGCGAACCGGACTGGCACGGACGCGACAATACATTCCGAATGGCGAGCTAGAGCGACCGCTATCCTCAGTGTTCGTTTGTTTTGTTTGTTTTCTTGTCTCTCCTGACCATTTTCATTGTCACCGTCCCGCAAGAACGACAGGAATGATATTTGCCTGAGCGTATTCACCCACGCATACAACAGCGCCAAGACGTATGTACATATTCCGACCAACGGACCCAAATGGGACGAGATCGTTCGTCGAGCTGCTTTCGATTTCGACACGGAACAAGTCGTTTAAGTCATGCGTGTGAAGGATCAACCGACGGGATGCGACTGGACGGCGCGCTTGCAAGCGGGGTTCGAGAATGCATGTGCGCGACTGCGTTGGGAACCGGCGGCGCAGGCCACGCCCGGCCACGAGCGCAATGCGCGGCAACGCCCAGAGAAACGATTACGCTCATTGCACATGATCGATCTCCCCCCCTCTCGCCCTTAGGGTGTGGCCACGAGCTCTAGAGCGAGGGGCCACCGCCAACTCCTCCATTTCCAACGCCAAATTCGGCGGACACGCACGCAAACGACACTACCAACAGATGCCCGGCTCAGGCAGACAGGAAACGAAAGGCAGACAACGAGGCTGGCAGCAAACCAAGGGAAATACCCGGAATAGCTGAAAGCGGTAATCGCGAGTGTGGTGAAGAGCGTAAGCCTATGCTCTCATACGGACTCGATTCAGACGACGTTTGCGCTATCTTGTGAACGCTGCGAGTCACAGCGGACACGCATGTTGATGCATTCGCTATCCTACTAGCGTAGTGTCATGGGCACGAAAACTGCGCCGAGATGTTGGAAGTCTGCTGAGGGCGTGGCTGCGTGCCGCAGCTTGCCTGCAAAAGACGACGCGCCTCAGGAGGTAGCCCCGGTCGGCGTTGGCCTAGGGGGCCCGCGGGCACAGCAAACCGTGGAATGCTACCTCAACAGGTGCTTCGTCGCAGCTGTGATGCTGCAGCCCCACTACAGGTCGACGGGGCGACCTGGCCACTGAACGCTAAGGTAATTTTCTAGCACGAGCGGCCCCATACACGCCACACTGGCAGTTCGTAATCGTAGACGCGGCTATGATTGAAGCGGACTTTCCTGTTTCTGGCCGTGGCCCTTTTGCATGGCGATCGCAGGCGCGCACCGTCGAGGCCAGCAGTGTCGGCTTCGACCCAGACGACCCCCGCGCGCCGCGGCAACCCGACGGGTCGTTCATCCGACCAGTGTCTGGCGGCTTGGAATGCCCCGCGCGCGCCGGCAACGCGCGGGCGAGTTCGCCGTGGCGCAGCCGCAGCCACTGGCCGGGTGGAGCTTGAAAACTTCGGGGTCTTCAAGCTGGTCACGGGCGCCGCCCGCGACTGCCCGGGCGACGAGAGGGGGGCGGAGGCGGCTGCCCTCGCCAGCGCCGCTCGCGCCCAGAGCAGCGTGCAGCATGGCGATAAGTGGAGGCAGCGGTCGCGACGTACAGGTTGCAGAGGAGGACTTTGGGAGCTATTCCCGAGGCGAACAATCCTCGCTGGCGCCGCGGTCATCGCGAGCAATGCAGTTTGTGACCCCGCCGCGGCGCGCGTGGCCGCGTCTGCCGCCGGGCGCCGATCTTCGCCTCCGCACGCGTCGATCACGCTTTGATCGTGAACGGTCTGGGTCGCGTCCTCCCTCGGAGGCCCCCGCTCGAGCTGGGTGTCCCTGGCGCCGCCAGTCTAGAGAAGGCAGGGCGTCTGGCTGGCGACTCTGCACTTGGGCCAGATGGGCTCCCGCGCCGAGCCCTGCTGCGCATTCTCGGCAGCTTCGGGACGCTGGCCAGGCTCGGCCGCGCCATTGCCTGCTCTGCGCCGTTCGAGCTCAACCGCCCCCTCGCGGCTATGCCCCCTGCGGGTGGTGAGCCGCTCGGCAACGTTGAGCGCGCGCGTTCCTGATTGCCCTTTCCTTTTTTATCGATGCAGAACGCTGGCGCGAAGTTCATCGCATCTGCAGCGAACAGGTTCCCGCGCAAGGCGGCCGCCACTTCCTGAATCGCGCAGTGTCAGTGGATGCGGAGGCGCACCGACTGAGCGCGCTGCCTGAGGCAGCAGTGGATATGCAACTCCTCGCCAGCATGGACAGCGCTGCCGCCTTCCCCCACCTCGTGCGCCAGTGGATGCGGCGCGTCCTCGCGCGCTGGGTCATCTGCTGGCGCATGGTGGTGCTCCTGCGCGCGTGCTACTTCTTGCCGCTAGCGTTTTGCTGGCTTCGCCGATCTGCGCGGGGTCTGGGGCAGCGCGAAGTTGCCCACTCGACGGCGCGATGCAGGCGCCGATGTCCGACCCGCTTGCGCGAGCCGTCAGCGGCGAGATGCGTCGAGGTCTCGTCGGCGCCTGCGCCGATGACCTGCGCATCATCCTCGCGCATCGCCACGGCGTCGCCATGCTCTCGCCCCGCCCGGTTGCCGCCGACGCCTTGGCGGGCCTCAGGCTTCTAGCGGAGAGGTGCATCATCGTGCCGACCTGGTCCCTGCCGCCCCAGAACTTGATCGACGAGTCAGTGGCCGCGGCCCGCCCTCCTGGGCGCGGCTTCAATGTCGAAGCGATGGCTCGGCACCTCGGCTTCTTCATCGAACCTGGAGCGGCGCTCGCTGGCCAGCTGGCGGGGCTGTCTGCAACGTAGTGGGGCCGCGTCGAGCAGCTGACCACCTCGCGTGCGCCGAAGTGTCAAGCTGCGCGACGTCGCCACGGTCACCCCCCTCTCGCGTGTGGGCCAGCTGTCTGAGCGGCCACTCGCGCTGCTTTCCAGGGGGCTGCAGGCCGCCCGCTGGCGCCTCTGCGTCGCGCCGGACAGCTTCGCCAGACATGACATCCAGGCCGTGGCGCTCTGGGCGAGCGCCGAGGCCCCGAACGACGTCGAGACGCCGCTGGCTGCTGCGACGTGGCGCACCTGCGCCTTAGCCGTCGCCAAGCGGCGCGCGGCGTATCGCGCGCTGAACGGCGCCGCCTACGCCGAGCTCGGCGTCGCGGACTCGGGGGCTGAGCGCCGGACCGGCATCGGCGGCTCCGCGTTGTTTGTCGCCGAGGAGGTCCCCCACTTCAAGAACGCCGCCCTGCCGTGAACGCCGCGCCTCGTTCATGCGGCGCTCTTCCCGCCGCGCGCAAGTTCGCTGCTCGCGCAGGCGCGATGGCCATCCTCGGCCGCCGGGAGAACGAGACGGCCCACCCCAAGGTGCAGCGCGCGCTGCAGAGAGGGCGCAGGAGGAGGGAAAGACGCAGGAAGGAAGGGGAAGAAGTTGAAGCAGGGGGAAAGTAGGCGACGCGACGCCGCCAGCGACGCGAGCGCCTTCGTCGCCGCCTTCGCCTTTGCTTTCGCCTTCGCCTTCGCCGGTTTCGCTGCGTTTTCCTTCGCCTTCGCCTTTTTCGCCGCCGCCGCAGACGACGCCGACGCCGACGCCGACGCTGACGCCGACGCCAACGCCAACGCCGACGCCGACGCCGTCGCCGCCGCCGCCGCCGACGTCGACGACGACGACGACGCTAGGCTCCCCGCCCTGCGGGACGACCCGCTCTTCTTCGGGCGGGACCACCCGTGCCTGCTGCGGCTGCCCCCGCGCGGCGAGGAACAAAGGCGCTGCCGCTGCCGCCCTCGCCGCCGCCGTCTCCGTCGCAGACCTCGCCGTCGTTGTCGCTGCCATCGCTGTTGCAATCGCCGTCGCTGTCGTGGGCGTTGTCGTTTCCGTCGACGTCATCAATGCCATCGGCGGTTGCCATCGACGTTGCAATCGCCGTCGCTTTCGTCGTCCGCGTCGTCGTCGTCGTCTTCATCCACATCCTCCTTCGCTCTGCCTTCCGAACTCATCCTGGGCCAAACGTCGGTGCATGCGCCTTGCTGGCCCAGCCAGGCAGGCACACAGTTGCACCGGCCTTGGGCCCATCATGAGCCTGGCCAGGATCGGTGTGTGTGTGTGTACATTGTTCTCGTCGCCTGAGATGGAGAGAGCGGAAGCGATCCCGAGATCTCCGAAGCATTGTCTCGTTATGTACAATCGTTGGGCCGAACTCTCGGCCCCTTCCCCTCCTCCTGAACCCGCTTCTCTCCTCCTCCTCCTCCTCCTCCTCCTCCTTCTCATCCTCGTCCTCCTCCTCCGCCTCCTCCTCCTCCTCCTACTCGCTTCCTCCTTCTCCTCCTCCCTACCCCCATCCATCCGATGTCGTGCTTGTTTTCGCACTACGTGGCTCCCCAGAGGTCTGAACCTCTCTCCGGGAACCGTCTTCTCATCCCGAGTCGTGTTGTGACTGCCCTGGGGGTCCGCTGAGTGCCCGCAGAGGCCGAGAACCGCTAACAACAGACCGTCGCGTCTTTTCACGAGGTCTGGCGTCTTACAAGCATCTGATATTTCGGAACTCGTGCACAGATCCAGACGATGGTACATACGATATATTTCGTCAGCAATGGTTACGCAATTCGTATCGGGAATCCTCTGTTCGCCTTCTTGTTCTACGTTTCTCGTGCCTTTGTAATAGACGCAAGCCGAGTCTCCGAAGGCCGTTCGGGAACTTCCGGGCACCCCCCATGACGCTCTCGTTTCCCCCCCTCCCCTCCCCTCCCTCCCCCCCCTACCTCCGTGACAGTTATACAATTACACAGTATGAATACTACTCTCCTCTCTGACCTGAGTCTGTGTGGAAGATGGCCGGCACCCGTCCGCGTACTGTTTTACGCAGACTTGCCGGGAGTTGGTTTCGGCATGTGTTTTTGACAAGCCGATTCTTTTCGGTCCTTTCAAATGTTGCTCCCGCTCCAGCGTTGGCCTCATTTTCGGCCTTCCGCTCGTTCCGAATCGTGCTGCTGCTGCAGCGCTGACCTCATTTCCACGCTTCCGCTCGTTCCGAATCGTGCTCCTGCTGTAGCGCTGGCCTCATTTCCAGTGCCATACCATGGCATGCAATGCAATGCTATGGTGTGTTCCGCTGGGCGATGCCATCCCTTCAGCTGCAATTCTCCGATGTGTAGTGCTTAACTACGCAGTGCCACGCCATGCTACGTCATGCTACGCGTTGATCTTCAATGCCATGTTATGCCATGTAATGCTATGCCGTGCTACGACATCCGACTGCGCGAATAGAGAGGATATCTACGCCTTGGTAAGGAATGGGAGGGAGGGGCAGGACGTCAGGTAAGGCGCTTGCGCACCTAGCTTGCCTCCCCCCTCCTTCCCCTCCCCTCCTTCCCTCTCTCCCACCTTCCCCTCCCTCCCTCCCTCCTCGGTGGGGGTCCAATGCCCCGCCGAACGCCGCCTTTGCAGAGCCGCACTGGGCGCCTGGCTGCTGCTCGTGCAGGGCCTTTCCCTGTCGGCAGGTGGAGGGGCCTGTATATCTCACGGCGCCAATGGAGCCATGGGGGGGGAGGAATGACGAGGATGAGGACGACGATAGACTTCGATCCTCGAGCTTCGACGAGGAGGAGGGGGAGGAGGAGGGAGGAGGAGGGAGGAGGGAGGAGGAGGAGCAGGAGGAGGAGCAGGAGGAGGAGGAGGTGGAGGTGGAGGAGGATGTGAATCGACTGACCAGTATGCTGCCGCGCCGTGACTTCCCTGTCTTTCCTGACTACCCGCGCCGTGACCACAATCACCACTGAAGGATCTTGGCGGTTTTCGGCATTGGGGGCCCTGTCTCTGGCCGTCAGAAAACGACTCGGGATGAGAAGCCAGTCGCCGTGAATGGGTCCAGATCTTCTGGGAGCCACGTTGTGACAACATCAAGACGTCGGATGTCCAGGACTGTGCCCAGCCTCCTCCCCCCCTTGCCTCGTCGTTTTCCTGGCGCTCCTGCTCCCGTCAGGGGCAGCGTTCGCGGGGAATCGGCTCAGGGGGGATGCATCGACCCACCATTGCCCATTCGTCGCCGACAGGGGCCCGATAGCCCGCCCCGCCTAGGAACGTGCGGATCCGCAATCGGGGGCCAATCGCCAATGCATCGGCCTTCTACCGCGACCCCAGGTCGATGTTTCCCTCCCTGAGACGCCCCTCCCCCCCCCCCCCCCCCACGTGGCCCCTCCCCTACAGGGGCGACCGCCCCTGGAAGGGATGATCAAGCCAATCCCTCCCCTACAGGGGCGACCGCCCCTGCGTAAAAGCAGCACGTGGGACAGAGCGGGGACCCTGAAGGGGGCGGGGTAACTAGGTCCCTTTGTGACCCCTAGAGCTGCTGACCCCTTCTGCTCCTCCGTGCCCCCCCCCCCCTCCCCCTGAGGGACGGCCACTTCCAGGGCACGATGATCCCAGGGCTCGCCGCATCATCCGACGGCCCCCCCTCGCCAAGCGAAAAGGGCTTCGGCGGGACGGAAGAGGGAGGATACACAGCCGGAGCAATGGACCCGCTTTGGCACTCCGCACGGGATCATCAAAGGGCGCTCCATGAAGACCGACCGAAGAATGCAACGAGGAGGGAAGGCGGCTCACAGTTCGACTGGTGCTCCCAGCACCCACCCGCTCAGTCACCAGGATGCATCCAGGCTATTTTTGTTGTTGAATTAGATCTCCGGATGACAAGATCACTGAACCACTCAGCCGCATCCGGATCAGCCAGATCAACAGAACCACCAGGATTAGCCAGGTCATCTTGCTCAAGCGGATGAATTCGATGAGCCGGACCAACCAGACCACCCGAAACCCGATCAACCCGATCAGCCAGATCAACCAGATCAGTTGGATCAGCCCGATCATTGGCCTGCCAAATCATCGGATATCACCAGATCGCCGGATCAGCCGGTTCACCAGATCAGTTGGCCGATCATCATTGGATCAACGGATCACCAGATGGACCAGCCAGACATCATTGGATCACCAGATCAGTTGGCTGGATCACCGGATCAGAGAAACTTTCATTCAATTAATCAGCAGGATCAGCGGGATCAATTGCATTAACCAGGTCAGCCGGATCAGCCTGATTAGCCTGGATTATTTAGATTAGTTGGATGTTTCAGATCACCGGATCAGACAGCCAAACACTGGATCACCAGACACTTTTGATCACCAGATCAGCGGACCAGATCTCTGGATCAGCCGGTTCATTGGGTCAGTTGACCAGATCCTTGGACTACAGGATCGCATCTTAATTGGATCAGATTGCCTGGTCACTGGATCATCAGATCAGCTTGATAGCTGACCGGATCACTGGAACAGTCGGCAAGATCATTGGATCACCGGATCAGCCGGATCACCGGAGCACCGGATCAGTTGGCCAGATTGCCAGATCACCGGATCACCAGATCAGCCGGCCGGATCACCACGCATATCACCATGCAGATCATGTGGATTCGGATTAAAGTATCAGCCCGCCGGATCACCAGATCACCCAGATCAGCCAGCCAGATCCATGGATGTTTTGATCACCGGATCAATTGGCCCTATTTTTGGATCGCTGGAACAGCAGATCATTTGGATCAATTGGATCAGCCAGATCAACAGGATCAGATCAGCCAGATCTACCAGATCAGCCGGATCAGCCGATTCACCGGATCACCGGATCACCAGATCAGCTGGCCGGATCACCAGATCATTGGATCAGTGGATCACCGGATTTGTCAGCTGGGTTGGTCACTGGATCACCAGATCAGCTGGCCGAATCATCGGATCACCGGATCAGCCGGCCAGATCACCCGATCTCACCGGATCACCAGATCAACCACCCTCATCTGTGAATCATTGGATCACCAGATCATTGGATCAGCCGCCCAGGTCACCAGATCTCCGGATCACCAGTGCGACCCAAGTTGAATGAAAGATTGTTGTATCAGATGCGCGCAGTCCTCCTTCCTGTTCAACTGTTTGCTTCGCAGCAGAGGTTGGCGAGTGGGGTCCGCGAAGCTATGGTATCGTGCATATCGGGAAAGGCATAAAGAGCGAGCGCAGGCGCGACGGAGCAGGCAGGACGGAGGAGGGAGGAGTGATAGCGGGCGAAGGAGGAGGGAGGACCAAGGACGCGGAGGATATTTGGGGGGGTTGAGGCGCGAGAGGAGGAGGAGGATGGGGAGGATGGGGGGTGTTTGGCCGCCGGTTGGGCCCGCCACCTCCGATCTCGGCTCCGGCGGGAGAGTCTGGCGGGTCATCTGCCCGGGTGGCAACTACGAGTTCCTCGTCGCCAACGAGGCTCGCAGCCGCCCTCGAGCACGCCGAGAACGAACGACGACGAGGTTGACGACGTCGAGGAGTTTGATGACAAGGGCGCCAGGGACGACGACGATCTTCGATGATGACTACGACGAGGACGTCGATCACGGGGACGAAGAAGAGGACAATGACCACATGACGACGAGGAAGATCAGGACGACGACGAAGGTAAGGTGCACGAGGTCGATGACTACGACGACGGAGACGACGACGAGGACGACGACGAGGACGACGACGACGACGAGGACGACGACGACGACGACGAAGAAGACGAAAACCATTACGACGGCGACGACGACGAAGACGACCACGGCGACGACGACAGCGGTTTTCGACGGCGATTACCGAAGACGGCGACGACGACGCCGAGGACGGTTTCGACTACGACGGGGAAGTCGACTAGCACGACGATTAGGGCGACTCTGATGATGACGACAATGATGACGAGGAAGAGAGGCAGGAGGAGCAAGAGGGAAGAGGGAGGAGGTGAGGAGGGAGGAGGTGGATCAGTTCACGAGGATGGAGCAGCAATGAGGAGGAGGTCCAGCTAGCCAGCTCGAACGAGTCAGCGGGCCCCGCCCACCCCTGCCTCGCCCTCCCACGGCACAGGAGCACAAGGCTTGCGCAGCTCGATCTATCGAGACTGGCGCGATGCGCGGGCGCGCGCGCGGCCCCGCTCTGTGACGACACGGCGAAGGACATCCACGGGCCGCGCACGGGCGGAAGCAGAGCCCTCCAGAGTACCCCGGCGCGGTGCGACTGACTGTTGTCGGTTCGCGAGAGGGCGCCGCGGCCGTCATTCTTGCGGGTCCAGGTCCGTCGGCTTCGGTCCCAGGCCGTTTTCACTAAGGGGAGGTGTACTAAAGGGAGATTTGTCCACCGCCGACATTGCTGCGCCTCCCTCGTGCTCTGTCTTCTTCTCCTTTTGGGTCTGCTCGTTGCATCGTGGACCACCCCGTTGAACTGATTGGGGAACGGGTATTTTTCACGGTTAGTTGCGCTGGTGGAGAGAAAGGACACTTGCGCGGTGCTCAGGCAACGCTGTAATTGAGCTCGCTCGCGTGCGGGCAAGCCTCTGGCAGGACGGGCAAGGGCAAAACACGCGCCGCGCTAATTCGGTTGCGCAATTTTCAGGCGCCCTCTGCGACAGCGATGGCGACATCTCGCTCTCTCTCTCTCTCTGGCGCGGCCCCTCCCTCAAGTGGGCGGGCAAGAAATATACGCTGCGCCCGAGCGAGAGCGCTACTTTCAAGCGACATCTGCGCAGCGTCTGGGCGAGAGTGACAATTCCTTCCGCCCGCTCGCGAGCGGCCCCGCGTTCAACAGTTAATTCCATTCTTGCCTCCCCCCTTTGCAGCGCATGCGCCCGCGAGGCCCAGCCCGTTGCGGATTGGTTGTCCAGGCACCGCGTGCGCGCGTTCGTGCTGCGCTACAGGCTGCTCCCTCGGTACGACGTCGACCGCTCCCTCGAGGACCCGCAGCAAGCCGGGACAGCGCGAGCATCGGCGCCCCTCCTCTTGCCAGGGTTCGGCGGCGAAATCCGAACCCTGCCCTCGCCAGTCATCGATTCAAGCAACTCGATGGGCTGCGGGGTTAGTGTCCCCCCAAATCCCACAGGAGGCTCCCAAGACGCCCCCCTAGCCGATTCTGAGGGAGCCCACTGTAGCCCAAGAAGCTTCAAGAGGATTCTAATACATTCTCAAGACGCCAAAGGAGGGCTCGAAACGGATCCCCAGACAGCCTAAATCAGCCAAACAACACATGATTTTCTGGCCGCGTCGGAATATCATCAGCATTCTTTCCCCTCCGGCCCAAGATGTCTCCAAGAGTGCCTTGGAGGAGCGACTATCCAAAGAGCGCCCAGCGTGCCCCAAAGAGCATCCCAAGATGGCCGTTGACTTCCCCGAGACGGCCTCAAGGTGGCAACATTACAGCCCAAGGTTGCCCAATATTGCCCTAAGAGGTCCTGAGGATGGATGCAGGGGGCGCCGGGGGGACCCAAGGATCGCCCCGGTGTGGCTCCAAGAGGTCACGCATGGGACCCACGTGAAAACCAATTCGGCCCAGGGTAGCCCAATGGGGCCCAGGATTAGTGTCAAGGGGCTTCCGCGGAGCCGAAGAGCGTCCAGAAGCGCTTCAAGAAGACCCCCAAACTGTCCGAAGACAGCCCTAGACAGCCCCAAGAGAGCCCCAGGAGTGCCGAAGAGTGCCTCCGAAGGAGCCCAAGACGGCTCGAGATCGCCCACAGACGGCCCAAGACGGCTGAATATAGCCCTTACGTTTTCCAAGTAGGCTTCACGACGGCCCAATGGAAGCTCGATAGAGCCACAGGTAGAGCAGCACTAAGAAGTTCGTGCATGGATGAGAACGACAATAAACATTCCATGATTTTGTGTCGCGCGCTTGGTGGAACACATCTATCGGGTCAGTACTACTTTTTTATTCAATGTGTGCCGCGCCGGATGAAATGCGTCCACCGCGCGGGAAAGTTCGCTGAGAGGGAATGCAGGATTTGCTCGCGATTCGGGTTCATTGTAGGACATCTGTGGGGGACCGGCGAGGGGGAAGCTTCAGTTCGTTGCTCGAAGGGCTGGTATCGGTCATGAGGTTGTTCACAATCTTCATTACGAAGCTACTTGATCTGGAAATTTGCCACTCACACCGCCGCTCGCCGCCACCCCTGCTGGCCTCGGCTTGGGCGTCGCAACGGCCCCGCCCCCGCACCTCCCCGGGCATCCGACGTAATGGGCCAATTTCCCACCACCGCTACCACAGGTAGGATGGGGCAGAAGGGGGGGTGGGGAGGTCCTCCTCCTCCTCCTCTTCCTCCTCCTCCTCCTCCTCCTCCTCCTCCTCCTCCCTCTCCTACCTGTGGTAGCGGCGGTGAAAAGTCGGCCCGTCACGACGTCCTCCTCTCTCCGCAGCGCGGCTCCCCGGAAGTCTGGGGCCCTCCCCCGTGGACAGCTGCCTGCTCCTGCAGCCGCTCGAGTCCTCCCGCGGCGTGGCCCCCGAAACCTGCCGGACGTATTCCTCTGTGATCTTGTCGCGGCGCGAGGGGGTCAGAGGTGTGAAATGAACCCGTGTAATACCCTCATCTATACTCCTTACTCTCCTGTCTCCTGGCCGTTTGGGCTCAGGTATCGGCATTGATCAGATTGTTGATCGCACAGGAGGAAAAGATCCACATCTTTCCCTCCTTCCTCTACCCACGGATCAGGGTCCTGTCCCTTTTCCTCGAACCCCATGCACAAGATGTGTGGTCCGCCATGGGGGCGTCACAGGTTCTCAGGATTCCTTGTTTGCTTCGGGGGGTTCGTCGGATCTGGTCGACGGGACGGTCATCTGGTCGACATGTGGACGAACGGATGACGAGGGATGGTCAACATCAGGACGACATCCAGTCGAACTCACGTTGATGAGAGGGCCGCGGAGGTCCACAGAGGATCCCATGAAGGCTCCCCGAAGGTCGGGGTTTGGGGGTCAATCGGCGGCGGGCCCAAGGGGGGAACGCAGAGTGTGTGGGCCTTCTCGGAAGGCTTGGATGGCCTCGGGTACTCGGAGAAGTTTCCTGCGCCTTCCTGGGAGACGCAGACAGCTTCTCAGAGGGCGCGACGATGGCTTCCGAGAAGCTTCGCCGCCACCTGAGCAGGTTCGCCCTCTCTCACTTCCCCCCTGGGCTCGCCACCGAGTCAAGAGCCGACCCGCGGACTCGTCTAGGGGCTCGCTCCGGCGCCAGAACACTTCCACGCGGATCCAGCCGCGGCCGGGTGGAGCCTCCAGGAGGCCAAAAAGACGTCCAAGAGCATGCATCCTCGATCTTCGGTCTTCGAACCTCGTCGATCCGCGGACAACATGTGCCTACCGTACCGCGATGGTGCCTCTCGAGACGTCGTCGACACCCGATCCAGGAATGGTACGCTGCATCGATTTTCGGCCCTCCGAGCCGAAAGACTATGCACCGTACCTCGCTGGAGCGGGGCCTGAATGGGAGTCCAAACAAGGCACGGTGCGCGGGAGCTTCTCTCGTACTCGAGGGAGTTCAGTGGTCGTCGCCTTGACTCCCCCTCCCGCTCGCCCTGGTCCCCTCCGCCCCCCCGGCCCCCCGCTCTCCCAGGACCTCGCCTCCGCCGTCGCGGCGCTGCGGCAGTCCTTCCAGGGGCCCCTCGCCGCCATCGGCTTCTCAGCCGGCAGCGCCCGGGGGCGGGGCGATCCTTCCGCCATGGGGGAAAGCGGTCCGATCGGGGAAACGGGCCCGGCATTTTCGCGTGCCGCCTTCAGGCCCCCACCGGGCCCTGCGCAGGCCCCATGGGGCCGTCTGGCGAGGAGCCCGGGGAGAGCTCCTGGGCCCTGGGACCCGTCTCCCTCCGGCCCCCTGTCCCTCGTGCCCAGGGTCGGCGCGCTGCAGGCACACGCGGGGCCCCATAGACCTCTGGCCGGCCGGGCTCCCCCGGAGCTGGCCTCCCCCCCCCCGCGTCCTGCCTCGGCCCCTGCAGGGGCCCACACGAGCGACGGCCCACGGCGCGAGGTGCCTGCCATGGCGAGCGTCTCGGGGGGCAGGAGGTGCCCGGAGCTCCAGGCGCTCCGGGAGACGGGGCGTCGGAGGTGCGGGAGGTGTTCCGGGGGCCTACACAGGATGGCGCGCCAGGGGACGGCTCCGCCGGCGGAAGCCAGACGTGCCCTCCCTCTCTACAAGACTTGTTTTTGTTTTGGCTTCGGCTTCTGGAGCGAGCCACTCATGACATCCATGCTCGACTGCGTGCCCCGTGTCGTAACTATGCCTTGAGAGTCATCCTCGTCGGCGTGGGAAGGAACTCCAACGCATTGGCACACTGAGGCGGCACGTGTCACAGCCGCTGCACCCCTGGCAAGTTTTACTACACAGCTGTCCTACGGGAAGACCATGCACGCGCGCATCGCAAGCGCGCCCAAGGTGAGCGGCTCCCCCCCCCCCTGGCACGTGCGTCAGGATGCGGAGGGCAGAGGGAGTGTGCTGGAGAGGCAGCTAGCTGATCGAGGGTACGCGCGAGCCAGGCTGCGGAAAGTGGGGGTCGGCCAAAGTCGCCCGTGTCTCATGCATTAGGCACACCACATGAGAGATTGGCCTGCCAACGGGTGCCCCAGGGTAATCTTGAACCTCCTGGGGTGGCCAGAGAGCCCTGGGACAACCTGCGAGACCCAGGGACGACGCAGGACGTGCCCCCAGATTGCTCACGGCAGGATCTCTTGTCCCATCCGCGCGCGCGGCGTCGACCCCGGAGTTGAGGGTTTCTCCGAAGGGCTTAGGCGACCCGTCCTCCTCCTCCTCCTCCTCCTCCTCCTCCTCCTCCTCCTCCTCCTCCATCTCCTCCATCTCCTCCTCCCCCTCCCCCTCCCCCCTCCACCTCCTCCTCGGGTCGCCTACGGCCCCAGGGGAAACCGTGCACTCCGGAGATCTCCAGTCGCGCAGCTCTCTGTTCGTGGGATTCCGGCCCAATGGGGCCGATGCCGGCCACAGGCGGCCGCGCGCCTCTCTCGCCGCACGGGGCCCATCGGCAGGCGGGGCCTGGGGGGGCAGCCAGAGAGCCCACGGCAGCATGATCAGAGAGGGCTTCTGGTGATCCCTGGGCCGCCTCCCGTCAGTCAGGGGGAAGCAGCGCCAGGTCGGCTGGCACACCAAGCGGTGGTGCAGTTTGGGCACGTCGCTTCGGCGGTCGATGGGAAAGGCGATGTTGCCACCGGGGTACAGCCGAGGGTGCCGCCGCGCCTTTCTCCGCAGTGCCCCCGAGAGTCTCAGACGCGTGCAGCCCCTCCTTGCTCTCACCAGGGGGGGGGAGTATGGATGGTTTGCGAGCTTCCCCCGGACACGTGGTGGAGTTGCAGAGGCTCCGTGGAGGAGGGGTGTGTCCACAGCGGGCGCGCCGGGCGGCGTGGCCCATCTGCTGGTGCACCGCCCCCTGCGCTCGTGAAGCCGGCCGACCGTGGGCGGGCGCGCGCTCAACGACCTATAGGGGGGAACGCTGCCTCCGCCCCGCGTCTCCCCCGCCCCGTGGGCGAAAAACACATCTCCGCATCCGCAGCCTCGCGGGCCGGGCCCCTGGGCCGCGACCCCGCGGATACGGGGCGTGTTTTTCCAGGCTGCCCCGCGCGGGATTGTATCCGCGCGACCGCGTATCCGCGGGATCGCGCCCCAGAATGCAGTCTGCGAGGGCGCGTATGCGGATATGGCTGCCGCTCGTGACCGCCGTCTCCCTGAGATCCAGTTGGCGGGCAAGGCTCTGCCGAAGACTTCTCCCAAAGAGGGCTGATGCGGTGCCAGCGAGTGTCCCTCCAAGCGGTGCTGGCACTGCCGATGGCAGGCCCCAGACGCAGGCCCCACAGGCCGGGCTCTGGTGCTTTCCCAGCCCCAGAGATCCGGAGCCCGCTCCGCCCAGATTGCTTCGAAGGCGCGGAAGGAGAGAGACCAGAGAGAGTCGCCGGCTGCACTGGCAGCCCAGAGCCAGCGACAGCGCGCGCGGGGCAGACTCCAGCCAGAAGCCCTGCGCTGGCCTCGCCACGGCGCTTGGGCAGCACACGTCGAGGGTGTCCCGAGCGAAAAGCCCCTGATTCTGGCGCACGAGAGAGGGCGCCCGTGCGCTGGAGGGGCCAGCGGATGCCCTGGCCCGCCCGCCCGGGCCAGAGCGGGCCTGCAGGCGCCGGCGCCCGGTCGTCCATGTGGCGCAGAGGGGCGTGGCGGTGACTGAGCCCGCGGGCTGGCCCGAGAGCAGACGGAGGCCGCCCTGCAGCGGCGCGGGCGGCAGCGGGCAGGCGGTGTCGACGAGTCGGGGGGGGGGGGGGGGCGGCGGCCGTCGTCGGCCTTCGGAGGCTCTCCTTCTGGAGGGCCCTGTGGATGCCCGAGGGGAGCCCTGGGAAGGCTCGGAGGAGGCCCGTCGGGACCAAGGCGGGCGGCGGGGAGCGCCTGGCCTCCGCCAGCGTCGCGCGGGTGTCTGGTTCTCCTCGCGAGATCTCGGCCGCGCAGGGGCCGCCTTCCGGGCAACCTTCGAGCACGAGATCGGCTGCAGGATGGAGTCATCCCCAAAACTGGTTTCCTCGTCGAGTCTGGAACAAAGAAGTGGCGTCTGAGTAGATCCACGCGCATTGTTGTACGTGCTTTTTTCCAGATTCGAAAGGGCGGCCAACTTCGAAACTTCGAGGTACATGAATCCTGTAGCCGATCTCCTCGAAATTTTGGGCCGTCCCAGGACGACCCGCGACAGAGAGTCGGTCCGCGGGGATGGGGCCGGGGGCCAGTCGGGACGAGGGCGGGCGGCGGCGGGGGACAGGTCAGACGAGTCTGATTTTAGGTCTCATTCAGGGCGGCTGCACGTCCCTCCGCTGCAGTCGCCATGGCACTCAGGAGGTGTGCGGCGTCGAGCTCGAACAGCAACTGTGAGGTACAAGCCTGCAGCCGATCTCCTCGAAGCCGGGGGCCATCCCAGATCGGCCCGCGACGTTTTTCGGGGTGTCTCCCGACGAGGAAGTCGATTCTGAGGTACGTCAGCCCTGCAGCAGGCCTCCTCCTCGAGGCCGGGGGCCGTCCCCGCCGAAAGGCCCGCGACGGAGAGCCGGCCCGCGGGGCGGGGGGCCGAGAGCTCCCAGGGGCCCGCGGCGCGAAGCCGCGGCACAGCGGAGGCGTCGGCGGGCCGTGGAGCAGCTGCGCCTCGCGGCAGCTGCGCCTCCTCGAGGCCGCTCGGAGCACGGGGCACGGCCCGCCCTCCCTCGCTGGGCTACGCGGAGGGGCCATGGAGCACAGTGGGATCCCCAAACCGTGTTCACGCGACGACGTCGCAGCACTCCTGAGGTCCCCGTCTTCGCATGAGGGATCATGCATCTGGGCGGGCTGGTCGGATAGATCTGCAGAGCAGACCCCTTATTTCTAATGTGGTTGGCCCTCCTGACTTAGGTCGCCTCCCAAAGGGCTAGGGTTTTTCCCCCACATCCTAGGGATATGGGGTTCTTGTTATTTCCCATCTCCTGAAGATGGGGTTCTTGTTATTACCTTGACCGCGCGGAGAAGGAGAACACCCACACACACACACACCTCCCACCGTCAGGTCATCATTCTCTGACTCACTCACATGCAGACGCACTCATATTCAGACTCACTCATACTCATATGCACTCCCTCTTAGATTCTTGATACTCAGGTTTCTCATGCTCAAGATCACTCATATGCAGACTCACTCGTATTCCTGGTATTTCCGCGCTCAGACACACACACACATTGTGAGGATGTCTCAGGCGAGGCGCTGGTTTCAGTGCTCCCAAGGGGCGGGCGCCAGGGGGTAGATCACAGGCCCGTTCGCGCCCAGATTGGGGGGATATCTCAGGCGGTTTGCTTGTTTGGGTGCCCAACTTCGTTCTCTTTCCGAGCAGTTTCCGAGGATGTCTCAGGGGAGGCGCTGGTTTCAGTGCTCCCAAGGGGGGGGGGGGGGCGCCAGGGGGTAGATCACATGCCCGTTCGCGCCCAGATTGGGGGGATGTCTCAGGCGGTTTGCCTGTTTGGGTGCCCAACTTCCTTCTCTTTCCGAGCAGTTTCCGAGGATGTCTCAGGCGAGGCGCTGGTTTCAGTGCTCCCAAGGGGGGGGCGCCAGGGGGTAGATCACAGGCCCGTTCGCGCCCAGATTGGGGGGATGTCTCAGGCGGTTTGCCTGTTTGGGTGCCCAACTTCCTTGTCTTTCCGAGCTGTTTCCGAGGATGTCTCAGGCGAGGCGCTGTTTTCAGTGCTCCCAAGGGGGGGGCGCCAGGGGATATTGCACGGGCCCGTTGTCGTCTTCACGCATAGATTTTCTTGACAGGTGTTCATGGGGAAAGGAGAAGAAAGAGGAGGTGAGAAGGATGACAGAAGGAGACATCAACTATTTAAAGTCGTCGTAGTCGTCGGCGTCTCTCTCGGCCTCGTTTTCCATGTAGATTTGCTGACACTCGGATACTGAAACTGACAATGCCTTCTACCGAAGTTTGCCATCACTATGAGATGCACATGTGGGGATCTCCGCGTCGAGTAATTGGTTATCGAGGGTGGCAGTTCGCTGGAGTGACTTCTGGCGCGGGTTCTCCAGGGTCCCCCCGATTGCTGAGCGCGATGCGGTCGTGGCTGCCTGCCCGCTTGGATTTGGCCAACTTCCGCCCTCGTAAGCCGCGCACTGAGGGTGCACTGAGGGTCACTCTT